GGCTCCAGTTGTTCCAAATTATGAGTATAGAGATTCCATTTATTTTCTTTCTCTTGTTAACTTTTGTTAGTATTCTCTTTCAGTTTACTATTTCATAGTTTTCTACCATACCATGAAAAAATAACTGATGAAATAAAAGGGACTGGACCCTGAATTAATTTTACTACATGCTACCATTATTAGAAATCTGAAGTTTCTAGATGATAAGTGCAGACACTGTCACAGAATTGTGTTTGTTAGAGAAAAACATCAGTTACTTGACAGATGTCTGTCTACGTTGTGAGCAGGACACTGTCTACAGGACAGTGCATTTCATGAAGGGTGTTCTCCACTGACCCGGTCATCAGCTACAATGTTCTCTTTTGACCTGACTGGCATAGTACCTTGAGTCTGAATTATTTATATCTGTTCATTAACACAGCTTTTATTCTCAGAAGTCAAGCGCAGTGTTCTGGGTCTGTGAAAGCAAGGGAATAATAATTATATTTTAGAATTTGGGGATGAAAAATAAAGCTGAACTTCAAAGACAAATTCTTATTTCTTTCAATGAAATGAAGACGTTTTGTTTTCATTTGTTTTCAAAAAGTTACATCATCTGAGATTGATGGTGAGTGTCTAAGTGAATAGCAAGACAGAAAGGGGGTAGTTAACTTACAGATTTACTACAACCCTTTATTAGAGTAAGCAGCTGCAAGGAAAAATATTGTGCTTCCATGGGGCTTATTATTCTGTAGAGGAGAGATACAGAATTAGGTGTGCTGAGGTCTGATAGGCTGCTCCTTTGTGAAAAGACACAATAGGCCATTGGAATGTGTCACAGTTACGAGCTATTAATGATGAGTTGGAACACTTACTGCATGCCAAATGGACAGCCCTTGGTAAGAGTTGTGAGGGCTTAGGAATTTTCCATATCTGCTAGGTGCAATCGGTCAGAAAAGTGAGGGGCCCATATATTCCACACCCAAGCAACAAAATTTTTAAGTATCAACAAAACTTTTAAGTATTATAAATGGAATAGGGAAATCAAAATATGAGCGAGCAGTGGCTCTATCAATGTTAATACCCTAGTTGTAATGTACTATGTAGTTTTTCAAAAATGTCATTATTGAGGAAAGACAAATAAAATCTACACAGAAGCTCTGTGTCATTCCTTATAACTGTGAGTGAATCTAAATTCACCTCAATTAAAATTTCCCTTAGAAGGGTGGGGGAAAGCATAGTCAGTTTATGTGATCAGCCTAGATGTACATCAGTGGATAAAGTATAGCATATGTGAGCAATGGAATTTTATTCACTCCTGAAGGACAAATTTATGTTATTTGTAGGAAATGAGTACTGAGCAAAGCAATTAAAACTCAGAAAGCCCAATATTGCATATTATCTCTCATACAAAAATATCAATTCAAAGTATTATGTGATGTGAAAGTATAAGTGTGACTGGGACAAGGGAATTATCCTAATGGAGGTGAATATAAACAAAATCAAAATACATGATAGACATGTATGAAAATGTCTTAATGAAATCCATCTTATACAATGAGTACACAGTAATTTTTAAAACACCAAAGAATAGTAAAATAGGATACATTTAATTATATAAAAGAGAGACATTATAACTGCTAGTTGTTATAGGAAACATAATTTTCAAATTGTTTATAGCCACTGAGCCTTTGCATATCACTTAGTAATTTAACGTCATAGCTTAGGAAGAGTAAGATTATTGATGGCTAAATCCATCTTTACTTTCTAGAGGAACAATTATAATATTCCAAGTAAAGAAATTCACTTTTAATATTGTTTCAGACATAAAATTAAGTCCTGGATGCTTATGATAGCAATAATAAGTGACAATCCTTTCCAGCCTCCCATGTTTAATGTTACCTTATAAATCCATACATTGCTTTTGTCCGAACAGGATTTTTTTTTTTTTTTTTTTTTTTTTTTTTTTGGTTTTTCGAGACAGGGTTTCTCTGTGTAGCTTTGCGCCTTTCCTGGAACTCGCTTTGGAAACCAGGCTGGCCTCGAACTCACAGAGATCCGCCTGCCTCTGCCTCCCGAGTGCTGGGATTAAAGGCGTGCGCCACCACCGCCCGGCTCCGAACAGGATTTTATATTTCAATTTAATCATGTCATCTTGAATATCATATGTGTTTTTTGTTACTGATGCTGTGTATGTTTTATAAATATGTTTTATATGTTTTATATGTATGTTTTATAAATAAAAAAAATTTTATTAGCTACTGATGTGTGGTTTTAACTACACATGATAGCTTATGCCAACAGTTTTACTTAAGTTTTAGACTGACAAAAGTAAATCAATATTTTGTGTTCAATTGAATACATCATTAATAAGGACCACTTCAGGGACTTCACTGTTATCTTTCAGGAAAAATATACCCCAAAGACCTTACTAGTCATGAAGCTCAGATAATTATCTGATGGATATTTTTAATGGCAAGACAGTATGATTTAAAACTTTATGGGCTCCTACTGGGACCTCTCTGTCAGTTCCACCAAAAGAAAGAAAGAAAGAAAGAAAGAAAGAAAGAGAGAGAGAGAGAGAGAGAGAGAAAGAAAGAAAGAAAGAAAGAAAGAAAGAAAGAAAGAAAGAAAGAAAGAAAGAAAGAAAGAAAGAAAGAAAACAGCCAACTAATAAATTGATGCATGATAGACTTGAGTAGTCTATCACCTTCCCAAGTTATAAATATATCTTGACAGACATTTGATGTTATTCCAAATCTTTTGATTATCCAGTTGAACTAAAGGAAAACACACTTATATAATTTATATAGAAACACATCTGTGTGTGCTGATTCAATGCTTTGTTTTTGAACATGTAAAATGGTTTATTGGTATTTGGTTCATTTAAATTTTTGTTACATAAGCTTAGATAGCAGCTTATCTTTGTAACATGCACAGTAAACATAAAATAGTCTCCTTATTTGAGTTTTCACTTTCTGATTTCAGTGACTTGCCATTAACCCAGTCCAAAAATATTAAGTGGAAAATTCTAGAAATGAATGATTATTCATTTTAAATCTATAACTTGTGTTATTTTGAGGAGTATGATAAAATCTCCTCTGCCTTGCCTAAGACTTGAATCATCTATTGACTATTGTCTACACACAGGATCCATCCGTCACCCACCCATCAGTCACTCAGTAGCCATCTCATGACCAAGCTGACAGCATCAATGTTCTTTGCTTGAGAAATCCTTATTTTACTTAAAAATGGTCCCAAATCCCAGGAACCATGGTGCTTGAAATTTTATTTGAAAATTTCATTGTATTTATTATGTTATTGGTTATTGTTTTCAGTCTCTTAATGTTCCCAGTTTATAACTGAAGCTTACTCACACTATAGCTGCATAGGAAAAAGTGTAGTAAGCTCAGGGTTTGGTACTATCTGTGGTTGCAGGCACCACTGGGGTCTAGGAATGTATCCCCTAAGGATGAGGAGGGTCTAATGTCAGTTTTTGAAACAGGAATTGAAATAAGTAAAGTATCTGTTGAAACTGGCATTCTAAGAAAAGGTATTGCTATTTAAATATGAATATAGAATTTAAATATATGTACATAATATTTTATAACCCAGAAGACACTGAGCTTACAAAAGCAGGGATTACTATACTAACTTGAAATCAATTATTCTATAATTATCCATTTTGCTCTAATGAAAAGCTGCTAGAAAGAGAAGTTTCATACCTCTTAAGTGTATTTTTTGTTTCAATAATAAATCCTGTTTGATTTTATTGAAATATGTTGAATATTCTATGTATATCCTTTTGTGTTCCTATGTTATACATTTGGCTAGTACAATGATTCCTTCTCCTCACTCCTGTCCCACTGTAATCATTACAGAGAAAGTTAAAATAAGTTCATATAATTGGAAAGAAAATATCACTCATTTATAAACTGTGAAAAGATTTTTTTTTAGGTGTGTGTGTTTTTTGTTTTTGTTTTTTATTTTGCAATACAGTTCAGTTCTACATATTAGCCACGGATTCTCTTGTTCTCCCCCCCCTCCCGCCCCCCTCACCTTCTGCCCAGCTCACCCCCTATTCTCACCTCCTCCAGGGCAAAGCCTCCCCCGAGGACTGAGATCAACCTGGAAGACTCAGTCCAGGCAGGTCCAGTCCCCTCCTCCCGAGCCAAGCGACCCTGCATAGGCCCCAGGTTTCAAACAGCCAACTCATGCAATGAGCACATGACCCGGTCCCACTGCCTGGATGCCTCCCAAACAGATCAAGCCAATCAACTGTCTCACCCATTCAGAGGGCCTGATCCAGTTGGGGACCCCTCAGCCATTGGTTCATAGTTCATGTGTTTCCATTCGTTTGGCTATTTGTCCCTGTGCTTTATCCAACCTTGGTCTCAACGTTGGATGGGGTTTCTAGCACGACAATTAGGGTGTTTGGCCATCCCATCACCAGAGTAGGTCAGTTCAGGCTGTATCTCGACCATTGCCAGCAGTCTGTTGTGGGGGTATCTTTGTGGATTTCTGTGGGCCTCTCTAGCACTTTGCTTCTTCTTATTCTCATGTGGTCTTCATTTACCATGGTCTCCTATTCCTTGTTCTCCCTCTCTGTTGTTGATCCAGCTGGGATCTCCCGTTCCCCCAAGCTCTCTTTCCTTCGACCCTCGCCCTTCATTACCCCCACTCATGTCCAGGCTGTTCATGTAGATATATCTCTTACATTTCTCCATCATTGGGCGATCCCCGTGTCTTTCTTTATTTGCCTTCACAGCCCCAGTTCCAGGCTTCTCAAACCCTAATGTGTAAATGAGCTCTTGCTATGGACCTGGTGGCTCTGAGAATTCACACTGACCACATCACACTGACCATCCATGATGGTTTATAATACAGTTCAAGAGACCATGAGGTCAAGTACATCGCAGTCCTTCCGAGTTTGTATTAAGGTTCTCAAGTAAGTGGTCTGCATTTCTCAAGTGCCCCAGAGTTATGGGTTGTTAATTTTCCATTCTGATGTTTTTGTTTAGCTCTTTTGACAGCAAATTTGTTTACCAGCAAAGAGGCCTTGGACCAATTGAAGAAGATACGATTCTAGTCATAGATCCAAATAATGCTGCCATCCTCCAGTCCAGTGGAAAGAACCTGTGAGTAAAATGGCTTACATGCTATTCAAACTGGCACACCTGGGCTGGATATAAAGTACATCATTGGGTCAGGAATGTGTCACAAGACTACCCTTACACAGGAGACAGATTGGGCCATCCTTTCATTTACTTTCTAAACAAGTGGTTCTGAAACTCAACTGAATGTTAGAATTACCTGTGAAGCTCAAAAAAAAAAAAAAAAAATTCTACACACAGAAAATTGGCCACTTATGTGTCTTCTTTCAAAATACCAAGGATAATTTTCTTACTACAAAAAGTCTTTGATGTCCTAGATTGTTAGCTTGATTTAAACACTATGGGTTCTATGCATGTATCTTACCATATTTATAAGCTATATTAATTTGTCAGTTTATAATTTTTAAAAATTGCATTATGACTTGGTCTGGACTATGGCTAATGCTATCATAACTTTCCAGGTGACTATTACACAGTCAAAATTGAGACATGTATGGTGAAGTCAGCTCTTAGTCAGTTAGACTGATAGTGTAAAAAAATCTGTAGCATAAAAATTATATACTCAACTGACCAAGTAATCACTGATAAGAATAAAAGACTTTTTTTCTCTTCCCATCCAAAAGTGAAGACTAAACAAATACCATTTTTGGCTTTCCCTTGGCTTGCACATGTAATTTGGATCTGAAAGCCACTCATTATTTGGTCTGATTCCTAGATGGCATTTGGCAGGCAAAAACAGTTGGCTGATATTCATGGTCATTGAAAGAAAGGGACACCTGCTTACAGACTTACCCTGACCCATTATAACCTGGCAGCTTCTAGGACTATGCCCCACTCCATCTGCTTAAGTCCCAGAGAAGCCCAGCTTCTTTGAAACACAGATAGCCTCTACTTTGAATGCAGCTACTACTAATAGAGATTGCTATAATGAAGCTTAGGTTTTTTTTAAATAGTCGTTTCAGAGAAGTCAGGGACCAAATTATAATTCCATCTCTACTGTGTATTTGAGTCCATGTCCTCAGAGCTGTAGCCATTAATCAGAGGCATCCTCATCCCAGAACAGAATTAACAGGGAAGGTGGACCAACTGCTGCTAAGTCAACTTGGCTAGCTATGAGGTATCAATGCTGCAAGCAAATCATAACCTCGCTTTCAATGGCCAAAACAGGCATCTAGTTCAGTCAATTTGTTAAGATCAAAGTGTTATGCACTTGACTCATGAAAAAAAATCTTGGTGCCAATACCCTACTTAGGCTAGACACACACAAAGAAGGCTTGGATTCTCGGATGGTATTCTAACAGGGTCACCTTAGTCTATTTCCCATGTGTTAACTCTGTTCCAGTTTTTCAGTTCTATGGGCCTCTATCCATATCCATTACATGTGCAAAATATATTGACCTTTCCTAGTGAGTGTTCCAGCTCACCACTTCGCTGTGCCTGGAGGGTCATAGCCCTTCTGGAAGTTACTCTCTTTGTGTTTCACTATCTTCCATAGCCAGTCCTAGAGCTTTCAAGTCACATATGTAAGATTTTGTGTTGACATGGTGTTATAGTGCTGGAGAGATAGCTCAGTTGGTAATGACCTTGCCATAAGGACCTAGAATCCACACAAAAGCTGGACAGAGTCACATCAGTAACCCCATTACTGAGGCCAACAGGGGGCAGGGGAGGAGGACCCCGGGACTATCTGGCCAGCCAGGCTAGCCAATTGGTTCCATGTTCAGTGAGAGGTCCTTATCCTAAAGGATAAGATGGAGAGTGATCGAAATAGGCAGTTGATATCACTCTCTGGACTATACATGCATGTATGCACACATCACAAACACTCACATACAAAAATGCCCATAACACTATATTTTCTTGAAATATATTTTAACTATCCAAACTATAGAAATCCAGTTATTTCTCAAGGCAATTTGTCTTATGCATATTCTGAAACATTAATATTTATTTTCTGAAAACTTGCTTTTCATTTGATGTTATTTGTGCTGCTTAATAAAGCATACTTTATAGTAAATACTTATAATTTTATGTAAACTTTGTTTATAGATCTTGATAGGATTAACTTCTGCTTAAGCTTTGTCATGAGGAAGTCTCTGTCTGTTCTAACAGGTTATTTTCATTTAACAATTCATTTTGGCATTTTCTACAATGATACAAAAACACTGTTCTTATTTTGTAGAAGTATATTGCTCCACGGTTTTATTACAGCTAAGGGCCTCTCATGTGTCTAGAGTACTAGAACTAGAACAGTTATTTTTATTTTTCAGGTTTTATTTACCACATGGCTTGAGTATCGATAAAGATGGAAATTACTGGGTCACAGATGTGGCTCTTCATCAGGTGAGCTCCCTACTTAGCAGTATTCAAATAGAAGCTGAGATGGGTTAGTTTTCAAAATTCTCTGAATTTTACTGGAGCATTTTCTATGGCTCAAAAATTGGTAGCAAAAAAAGCGGTGGAAACATTCATATCATAGTAATTTCTGTGTGCTATTATAGAGTACCATAGACTGACTCAGTGGCTTATAAGCAACCAATGAGTTCATTTCTCACAGATCTAAATTCTGGGCATCTGAGATCAGGGTACCAGCATGACAGGGTTCTGTTGAGGTTCCTTTCCTAGGTTTCAGCCAGCCATCTCCTCGATGTGTTTTTCCATGAAGAAGGCAAAGAAAGTAAGCTCTTAAAAAAAAAAAAAAAAAAAAAAAAAAAAGATATGCCATAGCCAGGCGGCGGGCGCATGGCTTTAATCCCAGCACTCGGGAGGCAGAGCCAGGCGGATCTCTGTGAGTTCGAGGCCAGCCTAGGCTACCAAGTGAGTTCCAGGAAAGGCGCAAAGCTATACAGAGAAATCCTGTCTTGAAAAACCAAAGAAAGAAAAAAAGAAAGTAAGCTCTTGTGTCTCCTTTCTCATGAGGTTTCACCAGTTCCTTCCTGCTCCCATTACAATTGAAGTTAGGATTCTGATAGATGAATTTAGAAGACACAAGTGTTTAGTATCTGTATCAATCCTCACCTCAACAGTTTTCTTTTTGTACTCTACTAGAAAAAGTCAGCATGTTATTAGGTCTCTCTCATCTCTTGTATCCTAATAGCCAGATGTTGAGCTTCCCTATAATATCTAGAGGCCTTCCACCTTTCTCTTCACTTTCTACACTGCCCATTATTTCCCTTGTCCTTAGGCCTTATTTCTTTTCTTTTCTTTCTTTCTTTTTATTTTTTTTTTGCGTATGTTTTATGAATTCTTTCCTAAGCCACTTTCATTTTCTATAAATTAAAGCAAAGTCTATATCAAGTGTGTAAGAATATCAAACTTTGGTCCTTTTCAAAAGATACTGTATTTCAACCATGGAATTGTGTTAAAGCCTCATACCCATACAAGATAAGCTTGTTAAATGTAATGGTGGTGGTACAGAGTTAGGAAAAATAGGAAAGAGAAATCTAGAGCTCTAAAGACTCACCAGTGAGTCATTAACATGTTCTCTTGAGTTTTGAACATCATTTGATGAATACCTATGCCTCATGTGCTATCTGAGCATTATAGTATTAGCTAAAGAAGAAAAAAAGGAAGTGGAAGTGAATGCAATGTTTAAATACAGGTCCCTATTTGCTATATATTAAGTAGACAACTTAGGGAAAATAACTTAGTTTCCATATATCTAATTGTGATATGAAGAATTAGACCAGATGATTTCTAGGGTCCTATCTAATTTTAAAAGCATCTTCTTTTGAATAAATCTCTGTCTGCCATTTACACTATAATTGCTTGTCATGTGTGTGTGTCAACAATAATCAGAAGAGTAGATTAAGCTTTCTTTCTTTTTTTTTTTAAAGGTGTTCAAACTGGACCCACATAGCAAAGAAGGGCCTCTCTTAATTCTGGGAAGGAGCATGCAGCCTGGCAGTGACCAGAACCATTTCTGCCAGCCCACTGATGTGGCTGTGGACCCCAGCACTGGCACTGTCTTCGTGGCAGACGGCTACTGCAACAGTCGGATCGTGCAGTTTTCACCCGGCGGCAAGTTTATCACCCAGTGGGGAGAAGGTACTGGCTCCCACTCTTGCTCTCTAGTTAGAGTCCTGAGTCAGTAGGACCAAACACCAGACGCGGGTTTGGTTTTCCTCATACAAAATCTGTAATAAACGGCTTATTTTCATGAATTTGAAAACTTATCCAGCTGTGGCGTCCGACTTTGAAGGACTCTAAACAGTGTGTCTGTGGCTTTTCTTTGTTCGTAGAGTCCTCTGGGAGCACTCCTAAGCCAGGCCAGTTCAGTGTTCCTCACAGTCTGGCCCTTGTGCCTCACTTGGACCAATTGTGTGTGGCAGACAGGGAAAATGGCCGGATCCAATGTTTCAGAACTGACACCAAAGAATTTGTGAGAGAGATTAAACATGCATCATTTGGAAGAAATGTATTTGCAATTTCATATATACCAGGTATTTCGTTATTGTTTGCTTTATTATATCTGCCCTTAACAGTTGTTTTCACTCAGTGTGCTTTTTAAATAACCTTGTTCTTATTAGAAAGTTCCAGATACTTTGTATATCAGATCTGCAACATCTTAAACCTGTTAATACATTGTTAAGCACTTCAACCTAAGTGTCACTGTTCCTTTTGCAGACATAATGAAGACTCCAAAAGACGTTAACAGCTGTTTGTACTGGGTTTAAAATGTTCCCAAACACTGATTCCTTTTTACTTATGATCATCTGATCTAGCTATTAAAAGATTAATATTGCCTTCACACCATCAAGAGATGGTATATGTCTGATAGAATTACATTCAAACTATTTCTGTTTCTTGTTTCTTGAAAAAGTGCTGGCTGTCTTGGTTTTATTGCCGTGAAGAGACACCGTGACCATGGCAACTCTTACAAAGGAAAACATTTAATTGGTGCTGACTTGTAGTTCAGAGGTTTAGTCCATTATTGTCATGGCAGGAATTATGGTAGTATGCAGGCAGATGTGGTGTTGAAGAGGTAGCTGGGTGTTCCACACCTGGATCCACAGGCAGCAGGAAGAGCAGAGTAACACTGGGCCTGGCTTAAGCATTGAAACCTCAAAGCCCACCCCCAGTAACACACTTCCTCCAATAAAGCCACACCTCCCAACAGGGCCACACCTCCTAATAGTGCCACTCCCTATGAACCTATGGGGGCCATTTTCATTCAAACCACCACACTGATGAATTTATTTAAAACAGATCAAAATGTAAAGCAATAGAGGTTTATGTCTAAATGCCAGGAGAAACACCAATAAAATCTTGATTTCTTTAACATTTTTATATAAATTGTAATGGTTTTAACCATTTTCACAGAGCAGTGATGGTACATGCCTTTAATCTCAGAATTCAGGAGGCAGAGACAGGTGAATCTTGGTGAGTTCAAGGCCAGCCTGGTCTACAGAATGAGTTCCAGGACAGCCAGAGCTGTTACACAGAGAAACCCTGTCTTGAAAAGCCCCCAAAAATTGTTTTCAAATAAAATTTGAAAAAAATTCCAAACTCATAAAATAAGATGTGCATAATTAACATTATAAAATAAGTTACCGTAAGATTTCTTTGAATTGTATGAAGCAAGTTAGTATGTTAAGTAAAAGTTTTATTAACTATATCTGACTTTGTGTGAACATACATTGACTATACTCCCCACTTTAATACCTACACATCTTAGGTCACTAAGGTATGAAATAAAAGGGCTCCAGTGACTAGATGGTCAGATGGTGATAAGTGTGTGTTCCTTGAGAAATATATATATATAAAAAAAAACTCATTGATGTCAACAAAAGAGACATTCTGTACTTGGCTTTACTTCACATTGGAAGAATTGATTTGAAAAGATCATTCAGCTAGGAAGGAAGGTGATTTAAGTAGATATATCTTTCAAATATGGAAAAAGATAAGAACTAAAGTTAAAAACAGAATCTAGCAAGAGCTGGTGTCTTTACAGTATTCTGTAGCAATAATTGGCACTCAGACTGTATTGTGTTATGGGATATGTTCTAAAACTCGCTACGATCCTTTTAAGAAAGATGAAAATATATCGAACACAGGCTTCGCATCATATACACTTTTTGTGGCTTCGCAGTGCCGGGGCTCAAACATAGAATACATGCATGCCAGGCAAGCACTGAGCTATGCTCTCCGTCTCTTCTAAAGTGTGCTCTTCAATGTCTGCTTTGAAAATGCAGTACTCAAACTTCTGATTTGTTTAAGTCATCACCATTTCTGTGATTTCGCTTTTATAAAAAGAAATATCATTTTATTACAAAGTATGTTCATAAGAAGGTGCTTTTTTTTCTCCTGTGACAGTATGTCTTTAACAGTCTAAAATACACTCATGTTAGACAACAAGCTAGAGTTGTCTAAAATTAGACTATTTCTTCTGGGTACTGCAACTCTCCTTATACCGTCTCTACATTCTCCTCTTACTCTTGCTAGAGCAAGGCAGATATTCCATAGTTTTCCGACATAATCAGATGTTCCAAAATTATTGGCTTTAATAACTTGACGTTTCTCCCATTCCTAATGAGGATGCCTATTATATCTAACCCTGTATGCCAGTATGAATGTTTATCAGTAATTATGTATCCTAATTTCTTATGGCTTCCTAAGTGGAACAGGCCCTCCAGTTTCTGATTTTCTTTTTTTTTTTTTTTAATTTTTATTTTTATTTTGCAATACAATTCAGTTCTACATATCAGCCACGGATTCCCTTGTTCTCCCCCCTCCGGCCCCCCTCACCTTCCCCCTAGCCCACCCCCCATTCCCATCTCCTCCAGGGCAAAGCCTCCCCCGTGGACTGAGATCAACCTGGTAGACTTAGTCCAGGTAGGTCCAGTCCCCCTGATTTTCTTATTACAGTGAGATTGGCCATCTAACCTGTTTGGCCCATGCCTGGTAACTCACAGGATAATATCTGCTAAGTAATTTTCATTGTTGTTGGCAAATACAGGGACCATGTTGATGCTCACTATTTTGTTTATTTTTCTAATGTTTGTTTCTTCTGTTTCAAAGCCAATCTTAGTCCATACTTTAAAGAAAGACTGCATCTCTTGTCACAGGTTTGCTTTTTCTGGTGAATGGGAAGCCTTACTTTGGCGACCACGAACCTGTGCAAGGTTTTGTGCTGAACTTTACCAGTGGGGAAATTATAGATGTCTTCAAGCCAGTACGCAAGGTACTTCCAGTCACTGCCTAGATTTGAATTTTTACAGGAAAATTAAAATATGAATATCAATGTACGATTTTTATTTTTAAACATAGAAGATGGGATGACTTCTTAGCTGAGTTGATGGTATTATGTTGTTATGATGTTTACTTAAAATAAATGTCCTTGTCTTTTCCTAGACCATCAGTATTTTCAGATGAACATTACCCTGTACCATTCTAACTTTATAGTAGAATCTGCATACAATGGCAAATTTACATTAACTATAGTTAGCAAGTTGATGTAGATACATTGATCGATAAATGGTAGACAGATTCTTTTTCCTAGTTTCATTCAAGTGGTGAAGAACCCACACTGGGAATGTACTATTACAGTTCTCTCTAGCATCAGTAGGAGGATTGGTATTTTTTGTGGGTAGTAGTGTTAAGACTTTAATAATCAACAAGAATTGAAAATAGTACTTTGTGGAATCTGTTCAAATTCTAAAGACTTAGCTAGGTGAGGAGTTCAAGGCTACACAGTAATTGGCCACTATGCATTTTAACAATGCTTTTTACACACTCAGTAACAAAAGTGAGCATTCCATGGGCTTTTGTCTTCCCACTGTATTATATATGAAGAGTAATTGCCAAAGCAATCATAATACTCGCATATATTGCAGGTATATTCCAGGACTTCATCAGATATAGAAAGATCAGCCTACTAAAATGCTCAGACAATGGTTATTTTTCAAAATATGGAAATATTTATTGTGTTTACTTAGATTAAAATGTAACTATCACAAGCCACTGAACAAAGTATGTCTTTATATCATAATTCTTAAATTTTCTGTTAGGATACCAAGTTTGCTAGGTGGAAAAAAAAAGAACTTTAAAATGGCTCAGTATTTTAGAAATCTGTAAGAAGCTGGGCAGTCTTGGTTCTATCAGAATTCACTGCAGGTTTTATACTTGATCTTAAGGGTATAATCATGTACAAGATAAGACACAATCTCTTCCTCAGTGTGCCTTTGTTAGGAAAAGCTACAGTATCTGAAACAAAACAAAGTAGATATGAACTAAAGAATTCCATCACAAGTTCTCTTCTTTTGGGTCTCTGTTTATGATTTGTAAGCATGCATTTTTCTCAGAAGATATTTTATCTGAAAAGCATTGTGCAATCCCATTGAAATCATTGCTTCTGTTAGTAGGGAAGCCATTACATTTCGAGTACATATTTTACTGGCACAGTGCTTTATCATTGATTGTCTGATCTTTAGAGCTATTCTCCTTTGAGTTGATTTCCTCATATTTATTGATTAAGAAAAGAAAAATATTACCATTCTTTCAGGTTTACAGTTTGTTTTGTCAGAATGTCCCTATCTTTATGGTCCTTTTAGTGATAGTGTTCTGTATCAACTTGGTTATTAGCTTTTAATTGAAATGAACATCTGTATGTCAAAACTAAGTGCTAAGCAAGAGGCTTCCACTCATAAGAATATAAATAGGTCTGAATTAGAAGTTCAGAGAGCATTGTTTCTAAACATCAGCAGTCAACCAAACTTGTGGTGATGAATGAGTAACATCATGGCAACCCAAAGAGAGTCTCATGCTAAGACAAAATTTGCTCTTCCTTTACAAAACCAAGTTATCATATAACTCCTTACACATGGAATAGTATTCTGTGTTGATTCAGTAAAGTAAAACTGGTTTATAGATCTCATAGAATTTTCACTTACTAAGATTATCATCATAAAGATTGAAAGTCTAGGTAAAAGAAATAATGTGGTATAATGATTCCTTATTGTAGTCAAAAGTTGATATTTACACAGTCTTTTCCTCTCTGCATATTTGTAGCTTCTTCCCTCACATAGGTTGAGTCTCTCTCTTTTACTACATGTGAGTCTCTTTCTTTTACTACTGTAGTCTTTAGAAATATTTACATCTGGGCTGGAGAGATGGCTCAGGGGTTAAGAGCACTGGCTGCTCTTCCAGAGGACCCGAGTTCAATTCCTAGCACCCACATGGTGGCTCACAACCATCTGTTATGGGATCTGATTCCCTCTTCTGGTGTGCATGAAGACAGGTCACTCATATACATAAAATAAATATTTTAAAAAAAGAAATGTTTACATCTGATGGTTGATCTCTCTTTTTGTTAGCATAAGGGAAATAAGACAGCAAGACTAATAAAGACAGTTTCATTCTTCTGCATATGGACACACAGATTACTCAATACCATTTGATGAAGATGCTGTCTTTTGTCCTGTATTTTTTGGCATCTTTGTTAAAAATGACATGGCTGTGTGAACTTAAGTCAGGGTCTTCTTTTCGGTAGTCTTTCCTTGCAGTGAAAGACATTGGATGCAAAGACACATGACTGCTCAAGATTAAGTGAAGGTTAAGCAATCAGCAATAATAATATTTATGTCACCACCTCTAAGGCTCAGTGAATTCTGCAGATGAGGGAACAAAAAAAAAAAAAAAAAAAACCCAGAAGATAGAATGAAGGTTTGGGAGATACAGCTGCTTGCTGAGTGTGATATGGCTGTTCCAGTCATGAGCCCAATGCAACTGTACTTGTCTATAGAGAGCCTGCTCGAGGATGGACCTGGCTTCAGTACTCAAGAGCTCTGTCTGCTCTTGCACAAGACCTAAGCTCAGTTCCCAGCATCCACACTGGTGACTTAGAGCCCCCTGTAAATACAGGTCCGAGGATCCAGTGCCCTTTCTTGGCCTCCTTGAACACTGTTCTTATGCATATACCCACACCCAGACATATACATAGACACACATTTTTAAAATAATAAAAACTTAATCTTAAAAGAGAATAGACCTGTTGACAGCCAACCATGGATAAAGGAGCTCCATTACCACTATTGGTCCCCCACTGCTGACCTAGTGGCTACTGATAAATTATGTGAAATAGAGTTACTGCTGTCAATCATGTAGCCACTGGTGAGGCTCCAGTAGAGAGTTCAAGCCCATAGTTACACAGATGGCCCCTGGCTAAACAGATTGTGTCTTAAAACAAAACCAGATAAATATGATAAATATAGAAAGAGGACATATGGGGAGGAGAGAGGGTGGAAAAAGGAGGGAGGGGTAATCTAAATGCATAGTAAACATGTATGAAAATGTCAGAGGAGAAGCTTAATAATCAATTTTTTAAAGATAGAAGTCATAGGAAAGCAGAAGTAAACATAAATAAGTCATAAAACAACAAATTAAACAGCCCTGAAAAAAAAAATCAACTTAGGAATTTTCAGCTTTGAAAGGAATTTCAAGTCAGTGGTTTCTCAGTGCCTAGAGTTACTCCTCACAAAGTCAGGACCCAGTAAATGACTGCCTTTGATTAGGGTTGCTCACTTTCATTGGAGTTGCATGTCTTGTCTCACTTTTCTGCCATTCTGTGATGTATTTAAGCGAAGCCTCGCCGTGATAACACATGTCTTTACCTTTGCCAGCACTTTGATATGCCCCATGACATTGTTGCCTCTGAAGACGGGAATGTGTATATTGGAGACGCGCACACAAACACCGTGTGGAAGTTCACCCTGACCGAAAGTAGGTTGTCGAGCTTTTTATTTGTTTGTTTTTATGGTATTTTTAATCCATAATTTTCATCTGATTGATTGTTTACAGTCACGGGAAACAAAAACATTTGCTTTTGTTCTCTTTTTTTTTTTTAAATGCCAGGAATAGGAAATCAGGATATAAGGGAGTTTGGGTTTGGGGTTCAATGTTAGCACATGTCTAGCATCTTTGGTTTTCTATTCCCTGTACTACAAAGGACAGGGGAAATGAAGAATGATGAGAGAGGAGGAGGAGGAAGGGAGAGTGTCCTTATTTGGTATCTATTTCAGAAATTAAAATAATTTCTTAAATGTGGAGAGAGAGAGGTTTTGTTTTGTTTTGTTTTTTTTCCTGGCAATCGTCACCTTGTTTCCAGAGACGCTCCACAGGAAATGTTTGATGTGTGAAGTAATGTCTGCTACATTAAAAGCCCCTGTGAATTCCAGCTTGGTTACAGAAGAAGGAGACAGCTTGGGCAAAGAAGAAGTTGACTTGTTGCCACAAGACATCACCCCATGTGGCACTCAGCTCTTTCCAGTCCTGAGCATGCAGGGACACCAGCATCCTTGTCTGACATGCTATCCCAAGCAGAGTCACTTTCTGCTTTCCATTTAGGCCTCAGCTTCCCCCCAAATACTGAGTTGCTGTATTTTTATTTAGCTCAGAACATAAAAGAACAGATTTGCTCTGTCAGAATCTAGTCAATTAGTGGACAATTTGTTAGGTTTTGGAGTGGGGGATGGGGAAGGAGATTCAAGGGGACAGTGAGATGGATCACTGGGAAGTAAGGAGTTTGTTAGAAAATTTATTAGTGCCATAGATAGACAGATAGAACAACAACAGCATGGCAGGGCCTCTGGGGAGAGTTCAGGCCCCAGCATGAGAGACAGACAGAATGGTGGGGTCTCTGAAGACAAGAAGCAGAGGCCTTGTGACAGAAGTGAGGTCTGCTCTTGTAGCTGTCTAAAGATGGCTGAAGTTTCACAACAAGAGCCCCTTAGCCAGGGTCTCTGAATCGAAGGCAAGAGGCAGAGAAAGGGGTAGGGAATAAAAGGGGTGGGTAGGGAGAAGGATATGTGGCCAACATCTCTTTTACTGTTAACTTACTTTGCAGATGAGAACTGGCCCCAGGAATTCTGATAGCCAGGGACCCACAGTGTCTCTGTCGGGGACCTGTTAGTATCTGTCAGAGGAGAGTACTGCAGATACCGTGGCCTGAGCCGAGGCTGAATACTAGTATTATATTCTTCATTAATGTTAGGATTCTCTCATTTCAACTTGGACATCATTAAAAGTATACTAGTCTGGTCCCTGCTTTCAGACTGTGAATCAAAATTGTCCTTAACTGAAGTTCACTGAATGTTTACTTGGCTCAAAATTTCAACATCCAGAGATGCTTTTTAAATATGTTGGGGGGGTCTAAGCAACAGGATATAGTGGTAATAAATAAAGGAATTAGGAATGATAAATTTGAGGTATCAAAAGCCATAGCAGATAGTAATATTAAATAAAGAATTAATAAGGACATGAAAACTTGATGAATAAAATGATGTTAATTGTAACAGCATAAATTCAAGTTATAACAAGGAAAAAGAACAAATTGTTGGAAGAAAAGGAAAACCAGGAGTCTATAAACTTTAATCAGATAGAATGTAGGTTCTATGTTTCAATTCAGCCAATGCTGTATTCAGTAACTTTTGAGTTTTGCATTAATCTTCAAGTAACTTTTACTGTTCTGACATAAGGGCCCTATTAGAGTATCGTGAATATAGATTCATCTACTAGGTATATTTGCACAGATGTGACAGAAATGTCCATAAGGAAAAACTTACTTTGCTTCTTCATCTCAGAGGGGTCAGTTCTTGGCTGTTTGTGCAGAAAATGAGAGCAGCAGGAGGAACATGTGACACAAGGGACTGTATGGCCAAGAAACAGATAGAGGCATAGTCCACACTAAAACACAGTCCGAGGACATGCTTCTACAGACCTCCATCTTCCAAAGCTCTGCCACCTCTTTATCGTGCTGCAGTAAAGCTATCGTATTAATTCCATACCGGAAATAATGCACAATTAAGTCGGAGTCCTCATGATCTAAGTGTCTCTGGAAGTACCCACATAGACTTACCCAGAGCACGCTTTATTGCATTTATTTATTGCTTTAGGCATTTCTTAATCCAGTGAGGATTGCATCAGAGCCTCTGACCTATTCTACGCCCAGAAGTCATTTTACCTTTCCCCTGTAAGAGATGCATTCAGCACTAGTGGTTTTGACAAGGACCCTGGATGCATGGGTAGACTAAAATAAAACTAAAGATAGATGGATAACCCTCAAATGACTGACCCAGTTAGGATTTTTAGAACAACAACAAAATATTGAATGCCTTTTTAAAGATGGAAAAGACTATATAAGGAGAAATAGGAATAATAATATGTGTGTTTTGAAAACTCTTCTTAAGTGGTTTTGGTACAGCCTCTGATCTCTAATTAAAAAGCAGTACAACAGCGCATAAAACTTCAAGATGATAAAAATCTTTCTGTATAATCCAGAGTGCAGTAAATTCATGAAATGGGACCTCTGGCACAGGAAGACTCTCTGTGTTTGCAGTCTACTGCTTAGTCTAGTTCATAGAAGACTGTTGTCCTACTTGGCTTCTCTATTGTTGTGTGAAACACTGACCAAAACTAACCTGGTGAGGGTGGATATTGGACAGGTCACTGAGGGAAGTCAAGACAGAAACCTAAAAGCAAGAACCGAAGTGGAGGCCACAGAAGGATGCTGTTGACTGACTTGTTCCTAACCAAGGGTGCCACTGCCCACAGTGGGCTAGGACCTCCCCATAAATCTTTAATCAAGAAAATGCTCTACTTACACCAAGCCAAGCTGATGGAGCAATGCCTCAATGGAGGTTCCTTCTTCCTAGGTAACACCACTTTCTAGGCATCAAGGACAAAGCTAACCAGAACCAGAACAACTGCATTTTAGCTTGGCAATGTTCTAGAATTATATGCCTGCACACTTAGAAATTAATAAAGGAAAAAGCTCTTTAATTATACCACGTGACTGATTCTGGCTAATGCACGAAAGGGGACCAACCTGGAATAGAAAATTTTACTAGTTTATATAGGTCCTAGGCATATCTATTCTACATACACTGTCATCCTTAAATCTCTTTTAAGTCCTGGCCCCAGGTTAGACTTTGAACAATTGAAACAGAGACAGGATGCTACAAGTCTGGCTACATGGGCTAATGGGAAATTTACACAGCAAAGGTGTTGTTAGAATTATTTCTTAAGTATACCAGTGTTGCTGTTGTTTTTTTTCCGAGAGTTGTTATCCAGGACCACCTTACACACTTGGCAGAATTATACTTTTTATTATGAGAGTACAGGAGGCAGAATGGCAGATCAGGATTTAAAGGTGGTTGTGACCCTGAACTCTTTCTATGAGCTGCCCACTAAAGGCATATTCTCTGATATGGGGATGGGCTCATTGGCCTGTTATAAGTCAAAGTTGTCTCCTTCTGTTATGGAAATGGAGCCTAACTGAAGGTAGTCTTGGTGAAAGAGCATCCGCAGAAGTGTTTTCTCAGCAACCCTAAAATAAACATCAGTAATGGCACTGCAATTTCTTCCTAGCAGTTTCTAACCAGCCTGCTCAGAGCACTGCCTACCTTCTGGTCATATTGGGAGTCAGCACTCCTCTGCTTCAATTCTCCTTGGCATAACTTAATAATTCCTAAGCAAGTTTCATCGTGAATCCTTTATAGCGTCAGTTTTGTTACTCCAAGTTTCTGATACATCAGTCGAAACCATCCTCAACTCTAAGATGTTGTCCAGGTGAAAACAGTGTAAGCAAGGGCATGGTGAAGCCACTGAACTGGACCACTCCAGGGGTAGAAGGAAAGGTTTATTGAGGATCAAAGTGCCATGACTGTCTCTCAGGGGGAGGGGCAGAGGAAAGTGAGATGGCGGAAAAAGCAAGTCGATTTTATATGAAAGTCAGCAGGGTGGGGGCCTTTGAGCTGATACAGGCTATTCAGATAAACTGGGAATTAGATGCCCTTGTCTTAGATAGTTGACCTTGGGGGACAGATTCAGGGAGGTCCTGGTAAACAGAGATTCCTGAGGAATGATGAATTTCAGCACCTATTGTCCCAGTAACAATCTTTCTGTTTACCAGGCCAGAGTGTTATGACTTATTATATATTATGTACCCCCCACCCAGGGTATCCCATGCATGGTGGGCTGGTGGGCGACCCACCCATGGCAGCGGCAGCCGGTGGACATTCGCAACCCAGAGGCTGTATCTGAGTGGAAATGGTTTATGATAATGAGGGATAAAGAGAAAGATAGGAAAAGACAGAAAGGAGAGAGAGAGAGAGAGAGAGAGAGAGAGAGAGAGAGAGAGAGAGAGAGAAGGAACGGGGGGTTTCAAAGGTGGGCACCTTGTGGGAGGGAAGCAGAAGAAAGAGAAATGGGCAGAGTTTTTCATTAAAAAGAGACTTTTATATCTGGACCCAGGGTGGCACCAAGGGGTGGGATCAGAATATTAACACAGAGGCCTTCTGTTTAGGACATTGTTGCCAGCCCTGCAGTGAGTGGGGTGGGAGGTGGGGGGCAAACAGAGGTTTTGTCACCAGCACTGCCATTTGGAACTAACAAACAGAACTACGTGATATTTCAGAAACAATGCGATAATAATAAATTCCAAAAGGAAAATTCTATTCTAAATATAAAGTTATTAGAAATATTATATCAGCTTGCCCAAGGAAGTTTTATCCAGGAGTCAAGAACTTGACCTCCCATTAGACTTAGGAAATATTTGTAACTGAATGTAAATGATATCAAAGTTAAGTTTTTAAATGTTCTTTTAGAGAGGATTCTGATTTTTCTCTCCTTCTTGTGCCGTTACAGAAATGGAGCATCGATCAGTTAAAAAGGCGGGCATTGAGGTCCCAGAAATCAAAGGTTGGTCAGAGTCCTCTTTTAACTGTGGAACCAAAAGCTGTTTTGTTGGATTATTTTTGGCTCTTGATTGCAGCTTAGAAATTAACAAACTAAAATATATATAATGTGGTAAATTATCCATTACTTTGGCTTTGGGCTGAGCCCTTAAACCCACATGTTGTCATTTCTTTTCATGATAAAGGAAGTCATCAGCATGCCCTCCAATCACTGATTCCCAGTAACAGAATATGGATCCAAATCTAAGAAATCTCTAACTAGCGAGCCAGAGATATGCAGAAAGGAAAATATGTAGCTAGTCATATTGGGAAGTATTGTTGATCCTATGCAAGAAAAATGATTTTTTTTTGGTATGCTAGAAAAGCCTGCATGAGCTCTCATGTAAACAAGTGAAAACCCTTGGTGAGTCCATCCTATCTTGATGAGAAATGTTAGCATGCCTGCCAGCTCCTTTCACAGTACCTCTCAGCCCACAAGATTGACTGAGGGCTTGTTTGTAAAAGGCATGGTAGTGAATGGAAGAGAAATGAAACTACATTTGAATGTAATTTCTCAGGAAAGTTACTGCCCAGTTAAAAGCATGACAGAAAGGGCACACACATCCACATGTCCACATGCACAGGTAACTGAATCACTGATGTACAATATCTGAGCTTTTCTACAGGTAAGCAGCTGCTGTTCTCCTTCAAAAATCTCTGTCAGCTTACCTTTCCCTCTCCAAGAAGCAGTTTGAAGCTGTGCTTTTTCTATGATGTGTAGGTGTTTGACTGATGTTTGTGGTTAAGGACCCACCATGCTTAAGTAAGAAAGTGATTCCATTCTTCAGATTTACCTGGCATAAAGAGCTTCAGACTAAAGTCTAGGCATCTTTGTTTTCCTGCCCCATGAAAAGTAGGTTGGAAAGACATGCAAAGCCAGATACAAAAGGAAGGTTATATACACGGAAAGGAGAGATGGTAGGCTCAGCATTGGAAGGACTGAGGTAACGTTGTTGTGACAATGAACTGCAGTTGTTTGGGCATTTGTAGAGATTCTGCCCAGGTGACCATACTGTGTGGTGTTCATATTACTCAAATACACATACAAATTTTAAATCATTTGCTCTTTATATAGTATTATTGATGTTATATTTACCCCCAAATAAGGGTGCTATAAAAGGTATTGTTGTTAATAACAGCTATCACAAATGGAACACTAAAAATGGACAATCCAAAAGTTATCAAATTTGCTGGGGCAGTGGTAGCACACACCTTTAATCCCAGCACTCAGGAGGCAGAGCCAGGCGGATCTCTGTGAGTTCAAGGCCAGTCTAGTCTACAAAGCGAGTTCCAGGAAAAGTGCAAAGCTACACAGAGAAACCCTGTCTCGGAAAAAAAAAAAAGTTATCAAATGTAATCATGTTAACCATGTGATATTTATTTTACATATGAGGAACTAAGGGTGGGTCGTACTAAGGAGAAAGCAGGTGTTAAAGGCAGGTTTTAAATGCAGGTTTGTTTGATGTCAAATCCTGTGTTCTTCACTATTTCTACACAATTGAAGACAGGTCAATCCCGTCAGCACGTCAATCCGTTCACTATAAATTCTTCCCGGAAATGCAGGTTAGCAAGGATTTACAGTTTGTGTTGAAATCTACTGAACTGTAAATTATTTCCAAGTACTTCTGTTTAAATATGCCTTACCAAAATGTTCTTGATGGTACTATGTGGAAAAGAGCCCAATTATCCTGACCTCTGGCTTCACCTTAGCTGCTTGATGAGAAGAAAACAAGGAGTTTTTAGATAGAAAACCTCCCAGTCTGGGGGCAGAACCTAGCAGTCGAAATAGTAAATTTTGCTAAAATGTCTACAAGAAAATCCAGTCTAACAGTCCGGAATATCCCAGCTCAAATGGAGGTACTTTGTTCCTTGAACCTAAATAATTCTTATTCTTCTATAAGATTATATTCTTTTTTTTTTTTTTTTTTTTTTTTTTTTTTTTTTTTTTTGGTTTTTCGAGACAGGGTTTCTCTGTGTAGCTTTGCGCCTTTCCTGGATCTCGCTCTGTAGACCAGGCTGGCCTCGAACTCACAGAGATCCGCCTGCCTCTCCTGCCTCTGCCTCCCGAGTGCTGGGATTAAAGGCGTGCGCCACCACCGCCCGGCAAGATTATATTCTTATTACAAACACACATCATGTTGGGTCCCTAGATCTTACCATTTATCAAAAAATCATGAAGCTACCCTTTGTAACAGAGGCCAAGGCAAATTCATACTTGACAACGTAGGAGGTGTTTGTTAATTTTGCCACTCTAAAGGTGGGTTACCCTGGTGATACTTATCTCCACATGAGTGGTCGTATCACTGACCAATTATAACAAGGTTCCAGAAGCAACCTTTGAAGGCAATTTCAGAAATAGGAGAATTGGAGAGGGCAGAAAAGCTCAGGAAAAGGATTTAAAATTTCAAATAGAGTTCCTAGGGATAAAACAGGTCAAAGCATAATTCTCACACCATCCCCTGCCCCAGGGAAAGTGACAATGGTGATTAGTCTCCAAAAAGTAGAAAGGAGCTCTCAGGTGCAGTGAGCCTCTTAGGCCTTATTGAGAGAAGTGGTTATAGGGGGCTGATGGCGGGAGCGGGGAGGGGAGAAGAGGGAGAGCGTGAACGAGAAGGAAGCTCGCTGATGCTGTATATAGCTTCCATATTTTCCTAAGTTACATGTTAATGTGCTTTCTAAAACCTTCACTCTTCACTTCTGTCTGTTCTTAGCTAGGTAGCAATTTCTGTATTGCTGTATTAAGAAGGTACCTCCGTTCCTGTGTATTATCCCAGTTGCTTTTATTAAAGAAGTCTGAGGGAAGACAGAAGGAGAGGATTTGAAACATAGCTCAGTGGATTAAAGTGTTTGCCTCAGAGGCAGGAGGACTAGAGTTTAGATCCCCCAGAGTCCATGCAAAAGGAGAGCAAGCATGCCTCCTCCTTCACTGGAGAAGCAGAGATAGGGGTCCTGAGGTGAAGCCATCTAGCTAGACTCTCTGGAGTTGGTAAGCTTTGTATCCAGGGAGAGATTCTAACCTTAGTAAATAAAATGGAGAACAGTGGGGAAAGACACCAATTTATTGACTTCAGGTCTAAACACACACACACACAAAGTGCATTAACACATATGTAAACATGCATACACACAGGTGCATACATGACATTGGTTATGAACTAAAAGAACCAGCTTAACACTCGTAGGAAATAGAAGAGACACAGAGATGAACTTGCAAGTAGATGAGATGCAGTGATGAACTTGCTAAGATACATATCACTGTAGACATGCTTGGCTTCCACAGTTCTGGTATTTTGGATGTAATCTACTAAAAATACTTGAACATTCTAACATTTGGAATAAACTTAAATGTGTTTAAGATTTAAAAGGTGCTTTTTTAAAAAGAAGGTAGTTTTTAAATGTCTCATTGCCATGCAAAATATATAATAAATAAAATAATAGAAGCATTGCTTTGAAGGGCAGAAGAAGGAAAAAAATACTTTTTTTTTGGGGGGGGGGTTTCGGGACAGGGTTTCTCTGTGTAGCTTGTGCCTTTCCTGGATCTTGCTCTGTAGACCAGGCTGGCCTCAAACTCACAGCGATCCACCTGCCTCTGCCTCCCGAGTGCTGGGATTAAAGGCATGCACCACCATCACCCGGCGGAAAAAAAACTTCTTATCTATCAACTTTTAAAATTATGACTTTTTCTTTATATCTAGAGATGCTTTGACAGCTTCTGATTTTATAAGACATTTTTGTTCTAGGAAGGCTGTGTATGGCATCTTATATGATACAAGAGTGTCATATTCTATTCCCTTTTATCTCCAGAAACTCAGACATTGGCTAATTTTAGAGTCTTTACACTTCTTCATACCTGTTCGCCAGGGATGCTCCAAAACATGGGAATGTTTAATAAAGAAATTTCAGATAGAGAGTGAAATGGTATAATTTTGATCATTCATTATTTGTGTGGAATTCCTAGGCTCTTTTGTGATAAGTGTTGTGTTAGACCTTTCATTCTACCTATATAGTCCCATCAGAAGAACAGCAATAATTCTAAGATTGGGACATTTTCAAACTACTCTCTTTTTAACAATGTACCTTTTAAATCTTAAACACATTGCAGTTTTTTTCCATGTGTTAGAATGTTCAAGTGTTTTTAGTAGATTACAACCAAAATGCTAGAACTGTGGAAGCCATGAATGTATGCATCTTAGCAAGTTCATTACCGTGTCTCGTCTACTTTCGATGAATGTTAAGCTGATTCATTCAGTCTATAACCAATGTCATCCCTGGTTCTCTCCATTTAATGTAACTCAGTCCTGGCGCTGCCTCATCAATGGTACCAGATGTCAGTTGGCATAAGGATTATAGCAAAAGCAGGAAGTAACCAGTAGGAAATACTGGGCAATAATTCTGGTCGTGTATACTGCTTTCAAATAGAAGCAGGCCTTCCTTCCAAAGGCAACACATTCTTGAATACCAGAGATACAAGTTTGTTTTATGTTATTTAATCCCATGATTCCATTTTGAGAATTTTCTTTTTCTTGTCCTGTTTAAATATGGAACAAGTTTAAATACTGAATAATTGTGTATATATTTTCTGTAGTAACAAAGAAGACACTAGAAGAGTGGTTGGGTCTGTGCACCAGTCTTTTTCCTTCCCTGCCCTCTAAATTTCAAGAGCCAGGTGGTGAACATGAGAGAAAGTGTAGCCTCTGCTTTTGTAAAGTAGAGGGAACAAAATGAAGACTTGGAGGCCTTCAGCAGAAGAATACCAATAGTGCCTGCTCACAAGCTGTGTGTGTGTTAAAGAAGTCACAAGCTGTGTGTGTGTTAGAGAAGAGCAAATGTGCAGTGAGGGTAGTGGAGACTGTAAAAGAAGATAGCTCAGAACGTTGAAGCAAAGAGTGTCGGTCCTCGCTCTGCTCATATCCATAAACTATATGTGAAGTGTCCTACGTCATTTCAGAAACATCCAGCAAGCTGATAAGTTACCTACATGTACAAAACATGAACCAATTTCCCCCACTGTGTTGAACCCTCTATCCTTACCAGTTTGTCAAGGTCTGAAGTTCTCTGTATCATGCAGTCTATATTGTATTGTAGGGGAGAAGATACACTAAGAAATTAATATTCTGGAAGCTTTGTGAGTCTTTTAGCAAACAAGACTGTAACATTTCTCCTGGTGAAATCCTTACCTGTTGCACATTAGGGTTTCCGTACACAGATACCAACATGCTTCTTGGGGATGGTTCAAAGTTCATTCTCATTTCAAGTTAATAGTTATTTAAAAAAAAAAAAGTGCAGTAGCTTCTGCAGCTCCTATGAATCTGTTTCTCTATGGTGCTTAATACCTGATCAGCCTGATACCTATCCAGCTCCTGTCAATGTCTCAGAAAGTTGATGTTATTTTTATCACCAATAAAATGACACATATATTACACTTAGGTACACATATTTCGCTGAGAACTATATAAAAGAACACAAAGATACAGTTGCTTTTTCTCTTTGTCAGTCAAGAATTAATGTCTAAAGCTATATAGAGTACTAAAACCTCACAGAACATGAAAGTGATTCATAAACTAAAGGTACAATGAACCAAATACTTATTAAGCACCTTCTTTGTGACCCACATTTAAATCCAACAGTTTTATGAAGGAAATAGTATCACACCTTTACAAATGAGATTCTGTTAGGCCAGAATAAATTAACTAACTTGCCCAAAGTTATTCTGCTAGAATACCTGAGATCAAGTATGATTGACTCTGGTATGTACACCAGCTCCTCTCCTCTACACAAAGCAGTGTGTGATCATAACCTTGGGAAAATGCAAAAAGGATATATATCTTATGGAGTTACTAGCTAAAGAGGGAATTAAAGGTAGATCAAAGAATACAAGTTGGAAGGGAGAAACTATATAGCACTCATCATAGCTGCTGTTTACTTTGTAGATGCTGACATTGAAACCTGACCCCACATACACTGGTCTCAACAAGTTCTTGGTGAACCATTGTTGATTTGACTGGGTAGGGGTGGGTGAGAGGGTTTGAAATCTTTGAATCAGTTGCATACTGTGAACTCTTCTTTCCCTGAAGAAGCCGAGGCAGTTGTTGAATCCAAAATGGAGAACAACCCCACCTCCTCAGAATTGCAGAAGATGCAAGAGAAACAGAAACTGATCAAAGAGCCAGGCTCGGGAGTGCCCGTGGTTCTCATTACAACCCTTCTGGTTATTCCTGTGGTTGTCCTGCTGGCCATTGTCATGTTTATTCGGTGGAAAAAATCAAGGGCCTTTGGAGGCAAGTAAAATGAGCCCCTTGAATTTGGACCCTGCCTTGGAAAGCATGTCTGGCCTAATTATCATTAGGAAATTTGTCATGATTGTCTGTTTGGTTTGGTTTGACTTAGTTTGCTTTACATGCTCTCTACCTTTTTATGATATCATTGTCTGTGTCTCAAAAGGTGCTTAGAAATAATATTGAATATAAAATATATCTGGAGCCTCTGAAGTTTAGGAAGTTTGCTTATACTGTAATTTCGCTCATTGCCTTTAAACAGTTGGCTTAAGCCCAAAATAGTATCACCATAGAAAGCTGTGAGGGTGTAGATCTACTATAAATTTTTTTGCAGATCAGGTAGAAGGACATCCCTGCTGTTAGGAATGGGCTCAAACTCACAATACTTGGGTCAGGTATCTTGAGGTTGTGTTCTTCCCCTATCAGATTGGCTCTAGCTTGCAGCTTTATGACATTGGGCAAGTTACTTAATCTCTCTAAACCAGTTTCTTCAGGGATAAAATGAGAATAAAATATGAGGTTGTGTAAAAATGAAACTGAGCAATTGAAAGTAAGCATTTACCAAAGTATCTGGCACCCACTATGTATTCAATATCATTAGCAAGTATAAAGAGTAATCTGGGTAATAGAGAAATAAAAATAGATGCCCGTCTTAAGCCTCTGCTTTACCCAGAATCCTGTCCTAGCAAACTACTTAGCTTTTGAATAGTCATAAACTTGACCATTAGATTTCCTAACTGAATGAGACAGGGTCCAGTACCACAAGTCAGTATTTTAAAATTAATTGTCATAGTATGAGACCCTTTCAGTATGTTCAAATAAATGATTGATGGCATCCTCATATCCCACTATTAAGTAGCAGCCTCTATAGTGGTATCTGGGAAAGAATCTGTGGAGCAGTATGGGGGGCAGCATTTGGTCAGGAAACAAAGTCTGGTCTTGTCTGAGGTCAGGCAGTCAGAGCAGGGATTCAGGTCCCTGTGGCAAAAGCCTTGCCACAGGGAAAAAAACGCTGAAACAAAGAATGGAAGATTCAATTTAATAAGTTATGAAAGTAATGTATCAGAGATTGTCTTTAACTTTTTATTTGCTCTTTAGTTAGCTCTTCCCAAAAAAGGACTGTTATGAATCTGGAACTGTCATAAATATAAAGAAAAACAGCCATGTATTTAGACATGAGCTCGAAGAGAACAAATGTGCTACATATGGTATATATTGGATGTGCGAGCACAAACAGAAGTTCTTGATACTAGTTGTTCAATAGGATAATTGTCAGAAAGAAATGGATGAGTAGATGAAACACACAAAAACAGGCAACACAGAAAAAGATGATATCTAAAACTGTAAGAGAAGATGGCAAGGTGGTGAAAATGACAAGGAATGCCAGGAATATGTAGGGCCTTGGGCCTATGGCGGGACTCTTGGATATTTAACCAGGAAAGGAAGTGACTAAGGAGTTAAGAAACCCTGTTTTGCCATTTGCTATTAGAGACAAGTGGCATGGAACTGTAGCATAAGGCTGTGTGGGAAGGGAGCAACATTGTTCCCCCATGTGTTATTTAAGAAAATTGTGATTCTATGCAATTCTGTTACATTTAATTGAAAAGATAAATTAGCCTACTCCCTATTTTCAAGGATTTTTTCCTCAATAGATTTCTATCTCTCTCTCACACACACACATACACACACACACACACACACACACACACACACACACACACACACACCTTCTTAAAGAATTTGTGTTGACTGCACACACCCTGGTTGTGTACTCCACTGATGGGCCACCCAGCCACCCTGATGGGCATGGGGCACACAAGATTGGCCAAGGAAGGCACCACATCTTTGTGGAACTGAGTCTATTCTTGGCTTTCTTGCAGTTCTTTCTCTGTCTTGTTTTCTACCTGCCCCTACTATCTGCCTCTTAGCTCTTTCCATGAGGCTGCCAGGCACCCTGATGCTACTCTGAGTATAGCCCGTGAAGGAATGATGAGAGAAAGAGAAAGCATGCAGGAAGAGACATAGCAAGGTGACAACTGGAGTCCCTTGGGAGCTCTTCCTCCCCATATAAAGCAAAATCGACGTATCTTAGAGATGGGAACCCCAGGGGAAGGGCTTTGTTCTCCTTGAGTGCATGGAAATTATCCAAGATTTCATGTCATTTGCTTTCACTTAGGCGTCCTGTGAAGGGGGTTATATAGATCCAAAGCAGGATTGTGTGCTTCTATTAACAGAAAAAGAAAAGCTTAACACAAATATCCCTAAAGTTTTTAATGAAAGCTTCCAATTTTTTACAGTATTTTGCTAACTTAATTCTATCTCAATACAAATACAAAGATTAAAAAAAAGATTGAGCATCATTCAGCATGTTTTTACGATTTCATATAACATCCCCTCTCATACATCACAGATATGGAGAGATGGGTACTGATCTCTCATTTCTCAGAGGGGGGGGGGGGGAAAAACCTTGAGGCTTGAGAAATTAGTTTGTCAAAATTACATTCTATAAAAGACGCAGGCAGAAGGCTACCCCTTAAATACATCTCAGTCTCCTTCAGCCCCCTTCATACTTCTCAATAATATAGAGCCTTTTCTAAAATTGCATGTAAATGAAACTTTTTAGTCACTTGTGAGTTCCTGATTTTATGTTGAAAGTTGAGCCCTCGGATAGAGGAGGGTAATTGGGACACATTTAAAATATGCCATCTTTTTGCTTGTCTTTTTTTTTTTTTTTTTTTTTTTTGGCTTTTTTTTTTCTGTTTTGTTTAAAGCAGATTCTGAACACAAACTCGAATCAAGTTCTGGAAGAGTACTGGGAAGATTCAGAGGTATGCCTGTGACCTTTCAGAATCTCATGTTGGGTTCAAAGTCAACAAGCTCATGTCTTGTAAAGAACAAGGCTCTGTTTTCTCTTTTGACTCTGAAAACTCAACACCCAGTGGGCAGTGTAGCAGCGCCCAGCATAAATGCAGAGTGACGACCTAGAAACATGGGCCTCACAAGCACATTTCCCAGCTTTGTTTCATTTTCCAGCTTGCCATTCTCTATTATCTCATTCCTTTGCCCTGCCTTCCATCTGTTTGCGTTTGCCTTTGGTAAACTTTCTGTCACCTGTCCTGACTGGCATAGATAGCAGTGCTTGCCTAGGGAAGATGACCTTTTCATAAAGTCATTGAAATGAAGAACAGCTCAGGAGAACTGTAGAGAAACAGAATGTGAAAATAAATAGATCTGAAATATGCCTGCAGAAACACATATTCCAAGGGGAGCTTAGAATCTTATCATTTACTTTGATAGTGTCTGTTGAGTGGTATCCATCTGGTTAAGACAAATCTCTTTGAATATCACTCTTTAAAAAAAAAAATCTACTCTCTCCCATTCCCAGTTTCTGTCTTTATTTAAAACGTTTGACAATTTACAAGAAAATAGACTGGTTTGGGCAAATTTTAACAATACGATGACATTTGACTTTCCCCCCTCCCCAGGAAAAGGAAGTGGAGGCTTAAATCTTGGAACTTTCTTTGCAAGCCGTCAAGGCTACAGCAGAAAAGGGTTTGACCGCCTCAGTACAGAGGGGAGTGACCAAGAGAAAGACGAAGATGACGGAAGCGAATCGGAGGAGGAGTACTCCGCCCCGCTGCCCACACCTGCACCTTCCTCCTGAACTCCAGGCCCTCTTGTAGGTTGAGTGGAGTTTACCAAGGATGCCCAGACTCCTTTCCCTTTAGTGTGTGTAAAGTTCTGTGCATTTGATTGTAAACTGTACTAGTCTATGTGGGACTGTACACACCTTATTTACTTCATTTGGTTATATTGGCTTCTGTTTCTAGGTGAGGGGTTTCCTAACAGTTCACTACAGTGCCATTGTCTTTATATGAACTTAGAGTAGAGAAGCTGCCCTCCTCCTCCATCACAGCACTCCTATCCCAGGATGGAAGTACTGCTCATTTACATTTGGAGACTTTTTTGTGGATGTAAATAGCCCCTTTCTCTGCTTGAACACAGTATTTTCCCAATCCACACCCCTTGCCAGTGTCTTTCTTTGGTGCCTTTCCTGTTCAGCATTCTCAGCCTGTGGCAGTAAAGAGAAACTTTGTGCTACACGACGAAAAGCTGCTAAATCTCCTTCTATTTTTTTAAAATCACTAACATTATATTGCAATGAGAGAAATTTTAAAAAGTCTCTATTTAAATTCTTTTTTTAAATTTCTCTTCAGTTGGTGTGTTTCCGGGATGTCTTATTTTTAGATGGTTACACTGTTAGAACACTATTTTTCGGAATCTGAATGTAATTTGTGTAATAAAGTGTTTTCAGAGCATTAGCAGTCGGAGTGTATTTTGTGATTTTTTTTTGTACACTTAAAACACTTCATACATATCTTTTAATAATTACTCAAATCAGAGAGTAGAACCAGTTCATTTGCAACCAAAAGAAATGCCTTTTGTAAAATGTAGAAGATAATTTCATGTGGCCAAGCTATGTTAACAACTGTGTTCTGAGTATTCATAAATGAATAAAACCAGGTTCTCTTTGAAAACTCATAAAGCATTTCACATATAGTATATCAAATAGTAAAAAATAGTTAATTGGGAGGGAGCCTATGTCTCAGAGGTCAAAAACAGATGGATCCATCAGCAACAAATGCACTATTGTTGCATTGCTTTAAAGAATTACTTGACCCCAGGGTCAAGGGTCCTTAACAATACAGAGGAAGTCCACACATTGACTACAAATGACTTTTTGAGAACATTTTTTTTAATGATACATCAATGTACCTGAGTAGGAACAAGATAGTTTTCCAATTTAAATTATTAGACTCGAGAAACCTTTCATCAAAATGCCAATTGCGTTTCAGGCATCTTAGTAGTGTCCTTAAGTTGAACTTAAGGAAAGGTGCTTGCTGAAAACTGTTGTTGTTTAAAATCTTATTGAATTGGGTTTTTTTGTTTTGTTTTTTGTTGTTGTTGTTGTCGTTTTCTGTCCTGACTGCTTAGTCCCAAATAACCAACTTAGAGACTGAATATGAGTTATAAATGTTTGACCAATAGCTCAAGCTTATTACTAACTAGCTCTTACATTTTAAGTTAGCCCCTATTCCTTATTTACACTGTGCCATGTGGCGGTACCTTTATTAGCATGGCACATTCATCTCCTGCTCCCTCTGCATTTGGCTGGCAACTCCTGACTCCATCCTTCTCCTTCCCATCATCCTTAGTTTGGTCACCCTGCCTATACTTCCTGCCTAGATACAGGCCAATCAGCATTTTATTAAACCAATTCAAGTGACAAATCTTTACAGTGTATGAGATTATTCCACAGCATACACCTGATCATATCTGAACAGCTTTATAATAGATTAATTGATACAAAGAGATCAAACTGATAAAATACAAGGGGACAAGAAAAAGGAAGTATACTTATTAAAGTGGAATAATTGATACAAGCCTGTGAAACCTGCTTGTGAACAACAAATTTGACTCCAGATTTTCTAGTAGCTCATTAAATAATGCTTGATTACTTACATAATTCATGAGTTCATTAAACATTTAGTATTCTTAATATTAAGATCAGAACAATTGGCTCCCAAGTGTCTTCAGAGAGAAAGTGCCATGTAGGGTAATTTGAATTCTTCAGCAGTAGATGCAGAATAGACAAGTACATTTTGCAAATCTGTTTTTGCGTGTGCCTCTTAACATGAACATGTGGCATCAGAAGACGGAAATTCCAGAAACTGTTTTTCCCAGGCTTTATAACCCTGCGCTTACTTCACCACAGATCCTCTACTTCCTTGTCTTAAATAAAGGTGGAAACTAGAAACAAATGACCTGCATTGACTTCTGGCAATCTTTCCACTGACTATTGTTCTTAGCTGCACTTTATTTACTGAGTCAATTAGAGATTGCTCTGCCTGAGACACAAAAGGATTGGATCCCAGCCCTCAGTTGACAGAGGAATTTAAGAGCTTTGTTACTCTTTTAGACACACTTATTTGCTATAGTTGACCTTTAATGGACTACAGATAGGGGTGACGTTCTTAAATTTTCTGTAGATGAGTCTAATGTAAAGCCAGAATGTAAAGTCACTGCCTTTGAGAATAGCCATTTTTATCTACCAATTATATACAGATGGCTATATTTTCCCTAAATTATAATTTACAGATAATTTGAAAGGAAATAGGTTTTGAAGTAATTTTTTTCTTTAACAATTTCATAGATGTATATAATACATTCTGGTCAACACACTCTGGATGTCTTGATTATTCAATGTGTTATGTTGGATATGAAAATGGTATGATTTACTAATTAAAAAGCATAGGTAAACAGCTGTGTTTTTGTTTATATTCTAAACAAGTTGGTCAGAGAATATTATTTGGAGATGTTAAATTAATGGCTTTGTCATTCACTGAGTTGGGCCTAAATTATATACATAAATGTCATTTATTCTTAGTTTCCTTCCTTTCTTTATTAAATCAGTGTATTCATTCTCATGCATCCCTAAACCTTTACCCCAAATTTTTTATAAATCAAATATTTAAGACAGTAACAATGAAAGTCATAGACTTTGCATTAGCGCTTATTCAACAGTCACCTAAACTATAAGTCAGTGTTGATGTGTCCTATGGCACCACATAAACATCAGGGTGGCTAAGAACAGGAATACGCATTTCAAAAGAATAGCCCTGGACACATTCCCACAGCTTTTGATTGACTACTTGTGTTGTGATCCAAAGAGTTGCATTACTAAGAAATACCTTTGGTCATTTGGATTCACCTGTTTCATGGCCCATCTCCAAGAAATGTGTTATATGGAGAGTAGCTGCGCTTAACATGCTATCAGACCAAGTTATATTTCCAAATATATCATGCAATAAAGTGATACTTTTACTCAGAAGCCACCCACTCCAGTACCTCATACTCAAGTCACACACACACACAAAATCAAAACAGAAACTCATCTGCAAGTTTTTTCTTTAATTCCAAAACTTTATAGTAACACTGACTAATCCACTAGGGAAAATGGCTTCAGTGCATGCAAAAGCATCAGAGATCTCCTTAGATCCTCCTTTTAAAAGATTATCTAACAAGGAGGTAGAAATAGAATATAGTGTTCTAAAGGGGTGATGGGAAAAATGGAACATGAGAGATTAAATGGGGTAAGTGTTGGGAGTGTGGGGTAAATGAGGGAATGTAAGAAGGAATAACTAATACTAAAGGCCTTTTGAAAACAAACAAACAAACAAACAAACTATGAAAATTACCACTGTAGAAGCCTCCTAAAATGTATACATACATATAGAAGGAGTTTAAAAAAAGTTACCCCATAATCAGGAGTAGTACCCCAAATCGATACCATACACTATGAAATAAAACCCCCAGTTCTAGGAATGGATGACTTCCCTTTGAGTTGAGTTGTTTGCCAACGGTGTCTTACAGAAGTCTACTCCACCAAAGGTAACAGGCTCTTGTCAATGGTAATGTCAATTGGTTATACTCCAGAATTTGTGAGAAGACCCTATTGCTGAAGACAATACGTACTTGAGTCATAGAACATTAAAAAAAAAAAAAATCTAGCTGGTGCTCAACAAAGGCTTCATCTGAACTGACTAGTGTTCACAGGGCTGGAAGGGGCTATATGCACACCACTGGAGGAGAAATCAGACTCACCCAGTGTGAAGTTTGTGAGGTACATTAACAACCTGCCTGCGCTGGGTACAATGGTGGCATGAATGTTAGGGGAATGGAAGGTAAGACCTGCTCCAAAGTGGAACTCATAGATGATATTAGATTGGGGCTGATGGAGGTAACATGAAAAATGGGGGGAGGGGGATCGACCTCAACAGAAGCAAGTTATCTTTTATTAGAACCATGAAAGGCAGGTGTCTCTCCATGGGAGATGGAAGCAGAGACTATGAAGAGGCAGAGAGGGCTTGAGGGTTTTATAGGGCAGAAAAGGGAACTTTTGGGGTGGTAAATCCCATATGCAGCTCTGTTCCTCTACAGTCTCAGAGTTGTAAATCCCAGTGAAGGTTGATATGTTGACTTTTTTATGGTGAGATTCCTAAGTTCTAACTGCTTGCAGATGTTATCACTTTGTCAACTTTCCTATCAGGAGTTTCCCAGCTCCCTTGGGCTTTTGAAGGTCATTAATCCCTTCTTTCAGACTCTGAGAACAGTTAATATGATGGGGGAATGTGGGTCCCCTGACCCTGATCAGCTGTTGCACACTGGAGGTCCCATGTTGCGGGAGAGCTGGGGAGCAGAGTAAGGTGGGTAGGAATGACCTGGGAGACTTTCAGAGGACAACTTGTTGATTGAAATGGTGGGACTAGCTTGTGTAGCTCTAGTCAGGGAGGCAGGGGAGGAAAGAGGTCAAGGGAGGAAGTGGTGCAGGGAGTGGGGAGGAGGGCTCTCCAAGCTTATCCTTCAGATTAGCAGACTGCTGGTCACATGATTTCTGATAAGCCAGTTCCCTGTGGTGAGACAGAAACTTGACTGATTTTATCCTGAAGTAGCCTTTGTTTCTATGGAGTTGAGTAGGCCTGATTTGGGTAGGGAGTCCTGCCATGCTCTCTGAGAGATATCTGGGATATGGGCAATGCTCTACTGTCCCTCATATGGCTTGGAAACCTACAGGGGAAGATATATCTAGCTTTAAATCTGTGGTGGTCAGATAAGATGCAGGGTGTTATTTCTATTGTCTTGTATCTGTTGAGACTTGCTTGGTATATATATATATATATATATATATATATATATATATATATATATATATGGTCAATTTTGGATAAAATTCCAGGAGTTGCTGAGAAGGACACATATTCTATTGTCTTTGGGTAAAATCTTCTGTAAACATCTGGTACATCCATTTGGTTTATGATATCTTTTAGCTCCAGAATTTCTCTCTTTAGTTTTTATGTTTATGATCTGTCTGTTGAGAAGAGTTGGGTATTAAAATCACCCACTACCACTGTGTAAGAATCAATATGTGATTTTCAGCTGTAGTAATGTTTCTTTTGTGAACTTGGTACTTTTGTGTTTGGTACATAAATGTTAAGACTTGCAATGTCCTCCTCTTGGTGAATTTTTCCCCTGATGAGTATGTAGTGTCCTTCCCTTTCTCCTCTGATTAGTTTTGGATTGAAGTCTATGTTGTCAGATATTTAAGTGGTTACACCAGCTTGCTTTTTAGGTCCATTTCTTTTATCATCTTTTTACCCTGAGGAGATGTTTATCTTTGTTTAGTGTTAAGGGATATTTCTTGGATGCCACAGAAGGTTAGATCCTATTTTTAACTCATTTTGTTAGTCTGTGTCCTTTAACT